GCTAACAAAACCTTGTATTACTGGCATAAGGAGAGACATCAACCAATAGAATAAAAAGTCAGTGTACCTATAGTTAGCTGTTTTTTGACAAGGGTGCTAAATTCATTCAAACAGGAAAAAGTGTCTCTTCAACATAGTCGTGGAATAATTCAGTTTCTACATGAAAAAGAAAAAGTTGAACAACTATCTTATATGTATTGAGTCTTCATTTAACATAATTGACAGATGATTGGAAAATGTGGCATTAAGTGAAACAATTTATAACTAAAAGCAGTTCAGTATCGGCCAGGGTGTTATTTATTTTTCCTCATTAATGTCATAACAAAACAACTTTGCTTGAAACAATATGGTTTATGGACTTGCCATATAAAAATTAACTAAAAATTAATAGATTGACCTAAATATAAAAGTGAAACTATTAAACTCTTAGACATAGGGGTAAGTCCTCAGAACAAATGGATTTTTGGTATTATACCAAAAGCATGGTTAACAGAATTTAACTTTATCAAAATGTAAAATTTTGTTATCAAGACACTATCAAGGCAACCTACATAAAAGGTGAAAAGATTTGCAAAACACACATCTGAGAATATCCAGAAAAATAAAAAGCTCAGCAAGAAAACAAATACCTCAATTTTTAAAAATGGCAACTGACTTAAAATAGTCATTGCTCAAAAAAAAGATTACCAATAGGCACTAAACACATATAAAGATGTTCAACATCATTAGGGAAATGAATGCAAGTTAAACCCTTGTGAAATTCACACCTACCAGGGTAACTATAATAAAAAAGAGAAAAAAAATTGACAAGAATGTGGAAAATTGCAATTCTTGTATTTTGTTGATAGCAATGGAAAATGATGCATCCCACTGTGAAAAAGTTTGGCGTTTCCTCCTCAAAAAGCTAAATATAGAATTATCACATGACCCAGGAATTCTACTGGGAATATACCCAAAAGAATTAAAAACAGTGATTCAAACAGATTCTTGTGTGCTAATACTCACTGCAGCATTATTTACCACAGCCAAAAGATGGAAGTGACCCAAATATCAATAAACAAACTAATAGATAAACCAGCGATAGTGTATAGATACAATGGAACATTATTTGGTCATAAAAGGAAGTCCTGATGCATGCTACCATATAAGTGAACATTGAAAACATCATATTAAGCAAAGTAAGTGATACAAAAACAGATGGATTCATATGCTCCCACTTATATAAGGTATCTAGAATAGGCAAACTTACAGAGAAAGAAACTAAATTAGAGATTACCAAAGGCTGTGGAGAGTAGGAAAGTGAATTACTTTTTAGTGACTACAGAGTTTCTCCTTGTGATATGGTAATAAAAAATTCTTTTGGAGACAAGGTAGTGATTACATAATTCTGTTAATGTAATGAATGGCACTGAATTATATGCTGAAAGAGGTAAAAATGGCAACTTTTATGGTATATGTTTTACCACAATAAAAGTTTCAAAAAGGCAAAGCATTTAAAAATGTTTGAATTTTACCTAATAACTTTATAAACTATATTGGAAATAAAGCAGATATAAGAATGATAATCTATAAGTTATTTAACTTATTTAACTTATAAAGAGATCATTTGACTCTGGAATCAAAGATATAGGAAAGATAAAAATTTAAATTCATTTTGCATTCACTTTTCAAGTATATTTAACAGAATAACTCTATACCTACTTGTGCCTATAAAAATATCATTCCACCTCTGCTAAGCCCTACTTATATCAATCAACTTTTGACACAACAAAAATCTTATGTAATATGAAGACTACAGAGCAGTAAAACACTGTGCTTCAACCTTTTGTCTGTCCCATCACACATGAGGACCAAGATATATTCCTTTAAAATACTGATCTCAGGGTGCTCTAAATTAACCTCTAAAGAATATTTTTCATAAGAACTACACAATGTATCCCAAAATATATTCATAATAACATATATTGTTGAAAATACATTTAAAGGGTTTAAACTGGGATATTCTCAAAAAATATGTGCATTATTGTAGTCCCTAAAGTCTTTCCTTGTTTACAGACACTTGTTCATCCTTTTAACAAGCACATCTTGAGTACCCTATAAGTACTGTTCAAATTGCTCACCACAAAAATTAGTAATTGCTGACAATCTGACTCTGAAAGAATCTTCAAAATAATAGAGCCTATTACATGGCTGAATATAAATTTAAGCCATGTTATGTGGGAGACAAAAACCAATAGCCTTGTTTTCTAGGATATGAGAGAAATCCTTCAGAGCTAAAACTTTTTACAAAACAGAATTTATGAAGAGGCAAAAGTACCTGCTTGAGATTCTGGAGTGCTGGTTTTCTTTATAATCTTTCTAAATCTGATGACTTGAAGATTTTCTTCACAGTTCCTTCTCACTCTGATTTCACACAATGAATTTCTCCAAGAAGTTTTCTCTTTTTCATGAGGGAAAATAAGTTATCATCAGCTTTTATGATTATCACCTTTTAACAATTTTGTAATTACTTCATATATCAGAATTCATAGTAGCACTAATGAAAAAAATTTTTCCCCAAGCCCCTGTGTGCTCTGCATCATCCAAAACTCTGGGACCCTGGAAATAGAATAACCTCTGTCTAGTACTTTGCTTGGTTTTAGAAGATTGCTCAACATCTCCAGCCAATATGCTCTAGCCAGAAGTAACACACTAGCAGCTCAAAAAAAAACCATGTAAACAGCTCAGTAGATATAGAAAACGATTTTGATTTGACCCAATAATCAGTATGTTTCATGTTGATACAAAAATCTAAATATTATAAAGGGTATTTTTATTATTCACAATAATATATGGCCAGAAAGTATAAACTGTGTGTCTGTATTGTGTTCTTTACTTTTAAATAATTATCAACATTACCTTGACTTTAAAAACTACAATACCAATAAATAAAATAGCATAAATTTTAAAAAATGTATTAATAGCATGGGATACTCTTTAGATCTTATCTTAATGACACACTCTCAGTTTGTCATGAATAATAGGTTGTGATTAGGTGTGGATAAAAATGAGTTCCTGGTTCAGAATCTTCTCATTCAACAGTGTTAAAAATCCTTTCAGAGTTGAGAAATCCTTTAAATTTTTAGAACACAAGAACCCCTAATAACCAAAACAATTTTGAAAAAGAACAGACTCATAGGTCCTGATTTCAAATTATAGTGCTAAACTATAGTAATCAAAACAGTTGGTACTGCCATAAAAACAGATACCTAGAACAATGAGACAAAATGGAGAGTTCAGAAACAACCTCACAAATATACAATCAATCAATTTTGAATAACAATGTCTAAATGTGAAAAGGACAAAGTCTCTTCAGTAAGTGATGCTGGAGAAATGTACTACCACATACAAAAGAATAAAATCAGACTCCTATCTTTAAAAATTAAAGTACATATATATTTTAAGTGAAAATTTTTAAAAATGCAATGTATGTTCAAGACTTAAAACTTGAAACCATAAAATTCTAGAATAAAATACATGGAGGTTGATTTTCTTTGACATGGACCTCTGTAATTTTTTTTTTTTTTTTTGGATAATACCACAAAAACTCAGGTAACAAAAGCAAAAACAAGCAGGTGGGGCTACATTTAATAAAAAGCTCTGACTAACATATAATCAACAAAATAAAAAGACAGCCCTTTTTGCAAATCGTGTATCTGATAAGAGGTTAATATCCAAAATTTGTAAGGAATTCCTGTTATTCAATAGCAAAAAATCAAATAATTTTAAATTGGTTAATTGACTTTAAACGGGCAAAGGACATGAAGACATATTTCCACAGAAGACATTTCATCTCATTATATCAAGCCATCATGTTTTACACCCTTAAATATATAAAATTTATATTTAAAAACATAGCTAACATGCATAAACAATAACCTAGGATTTTCTTACTAACCACATAAGTCTAACATTAAATAGCTGTACTCATGACCAGTTGTGATCACAGAGTAAGCAGCCTGCTCTGCAACATAATACTAAATATTATGCAATTATTACAATATATGAACCAGATTTCCTTTCAAGCTTGGGCTTCACAAAACCTTTATCACCAGAGCTAGTGACAAATATCAGAATTAGACCTTTTCTACTCAATGAGAGAGGACATTACATTAAACTAACATTAATAAGCACAGATACCTAAAGTATGAAACAACAAAAAGAGAAATGCTAAAGTAGGTAAAAAATTAAGTAAAAAGCTAAAAACTTAAAAAGCAGGAGAAATTTTTCTTATAGAATTTCTTTGAAATTAACAGCAAATTTCCCAATACTTAAGGTACACTTAGTGATGGAAATTACAGTTATAGCAGCTGTTACAACAGTTCTAAAAATAAAACATGAATAAATTTTAAAAATGTTCTATGAAGCTTTTTTTTTTTAAACTGAGTAATCAGATGGTATAGATGAGAAATCTACGACCCAAACAAGTCAAATAACTTGCCCCCAAAAAGTGAGAGAACAGGCCCTCCCTGGAAGCACAGCACTAAGAAGTTAGAGCCACTTCAACATGAGTTCAATCCCCGTCCTGGAGGTGACCCACATGGCACTGCAGACCTCTCCTGACCCACCTGCTGCTCCCCTCAGTAGTGTACTTCCTCAGTTGGCCTGTTCTGCTCCCCACTCTGTCTCTGGTGAATGCTCTCACTGCCCCTGTGCCTCTGGCCTGTACCCCAGTTCCATATGCATAAATAAATCTTAAAAAAAAAAAAAGTGAGAAAACAGGGAGAGTCCTTACCTCATAACTCATGGTTTTTGCTTTTTTTTTTTTTTTTACTGTCTGGGCACTTTAAATTCAACTTAGAGACTTCTGATGGTTGCTTATCATTGAAAAGTCTGGAACCCAATATATGACTTAATGAAGTGAAAATACGTTCTGCTTATGGCACCTGTGTTCAAATTGTGGTTTTATGAGCACTTATCCACATTTAATGAGCTTTAATGTAATATGTTCATACATCTAGGTTTCCACAGACGAGCAGCTCCAGTTACAAGAAGACAATTTCCACACGGTGCACACAGGATGGATTATCTGCACTTTGAGGATGATAGCCGTGGATGGTGGTTTGACATGGATATGGTGATCATTTATATTTATTCAGTGAACTGGGTCATTGGATTCATTGTTTTCTGCTTTCTTTGCTACTTTTTCTTTCCGTTTTAGGAATTTTCATACTTTGCTACAGTGGAACAATCATAATGATGTAGATAGCATTTACTGATACATTTTTAAAAAGTGCTTTGAAGTTTTTATAACGTTGCAAAATATAAACTGTTGGTGTTTTTAGAAAGCCTAAGCATCATGGACTTATTTATTAATGTTTTTCATGTAACAATCTATGATTCAAGAATAATTTCTGTCTAGCACTTAGTAGCAGTGCACTGTTAATTTCTTATTTCTTGATTTAGAATTTGTGGACTCTAATTTTGCAAATGTCACTTTTATATTTATCCTGATTGTAAAGACTGGGGTTTTTCCCTCTATGTAAAAAATAGTAAAAATGTAAAATGAAGTGATAATCTGGATAGATAGAATCTTTATTGATAAACTATTTTAGTCAATCACTACTTATTCTCAGGCAAATTATATGCATTAAAGATAGTCCACATTTTCTGGGCAATAATCTGGCAGGGTATATTCAGATTGTAATTATGTCTTGTTCTGGTACCAAGAAAGTTTACTATCATTTTTTAACAGATCTGTAATAGCATCATGCAACATTTTTAATTATTACAAGAACAGTGTATTAAATACCAAAATAATTGAAACTAACTACCAACAGTACAAACTTAGACAAATGTATTAACACTTTCAAATCACAGAATTACTCACCCAAAGAAATAAAAATTTACTGATTTGTAGTCTAAAAGAGCAGTGCATGTGCAAAATGTAATTAATTCATTGACTTAATTAGGAGAGTGTCAAATATATTGTAAATGTGCAATAAAGAATGGCTTTTAAATTTTTTCACTGTCATTAAGTAATTTAATTACATCTGGAATAAAGAATTACTGAAAGTAGATTTATGGATTATAGAAAGAAAGCTTGACATATATTTTCATCACTGATGATAAAATCCTTGGAAGTAGTTTTTCCCTATTAAAAAAAAAAGGAAATCCAGATTATCCTAGGGAGGAAAAAAGATGGGAATACATACCCTAATTTTTAAAGTGAGAAAACTAAAGCCCAAATGAGTTAACTTATTTATTTCTGTCACCTAGTGGTCTTTGTGTACACTAAAACAGGGGTTTAGATTTTGAACTACTCATTCAAGATTATTGTGATGCAATAAGGTAGATAAAATTCACATAGTACTAAAAATACTACCACCATCCAAACAAATGGGGGTGGAAAAGGCTTTAACATTCATTGTTGAATTCAGTTTGCTATGATCTTATTGAAGATTTGGCATCTATGTTCATCAGGGATGTAAATCTGTCGTTTTATGTTCAATGAAGTAAATACTTGTTATCAATTTTGGCATTGATCAGTTTTCATAACACTTAAAATGATGAGATCTATGTATAAAATTTGAATCACAGTGTGTTTGATCAGAAAGACATTCCTAAAATGGTGCTCTTAATCATATTTCCAGTTACACTCTTTAGGTGCAGCATGCAATTGCATAACAATAAGGGGCAAAAGTAGCCTCATTTTATTTAGCTATGATTTTGTATAAATACCATAGATTAACCTTGCCAATAATGCACAATGGTTAGCCAGAGAAACAATGAACTATACCTATGATCATAATCCTGAGAATATCACACCAAATTATCACTAAGCCCATCAAACAACTCTAATAGATTTACTTCAAAAAAAATTTTAAATGTGTGTCTGATACAGTACACACATTAAGGGGTTTAGAATTATAGACTTTTCACTACAATTGAGTAAATATTTACATAGGGCTATTTTTGATGTAATACAAGCAATTTTTTTAATATTATGAAGTTTTCAATGCTGATAGTACAGGCACTAGAATACAGCAAATGCAACCATGTTTTCTTTCTAAATATATTAACAGATAGTCTACAGCTAAGTTATTTTTAGAAAATCTACCTTTAATTTTTTTTTGAAATTCAAATATATTTTCTCATAGAAAAAATTATTTTTGGATTCTCAGATTAATCCACAAAATTCTTTATAAACCCATATGATGTACTTGAAGGCACAGCGCTAATATATTGGGATGTCAGAGAAGTCATGCAGTATTTTTTCTTTGAAAAACAGAAAACTATGCATCATCATGACTTTTCTGACAAACTAATAATTTTTCAACCACAATTAGCTCCCTTACAGAGCATGAGTTTTCCAAGTTATAGCTCCAGTTACCTGGAAGACATTTATATCATTCAGCAGTAACACTTACTCTGTATATAATAACATGAAGGATAAAGAGAGGAACATTCTCCTTGCAGCCACCAGAATGTGAAAAAAATACACTTATATAATAGAAATGGACTTAGAATAGCACAGTAAGAGATGTGTATAATATGAACAACAGATTCAATTTTATATATCCTAATAGCTACATATAAAAGCAAAAAGAAACCAAGTTAAATGCTAACCCAGGATATGCAAAATGTTGTCATATATATATATATATGCATGTATATATATATATACACACACATATATGTAATCAATATAAAGTCAGCTTTAGAATTAGTAATGAGATATTTACTGTCTTTTCTTGTATTACTCCTTCAAAGCCAGTATTTATTCCATAAAGTACACATCAGTTTGAAGTAGCCACATTTCAAGTGCCCAGCAGGCACATGTGATCAGTATCTGGTCACTGTATTTGAACAGCACAAGTTTTTATCAATGAGTTCAATTAAAGAAGGAAAATCACTACATATAGTATACTATAAAGAATTTATTGCAGAATTGGACCTTACACAATTGAGGAGCTGGGGAAATTAAAGTCTAAAAAGAATAAGAATCATAGAAAATAAGTCCTCCTAAAACATTAGAACAGAGAAGTTTCAAGGCAAGGTGAAATCTAAGGTAATTTCCCCATTAAAGTGGAACCACAAAGACGAGCTGGTGTCTATAAAGCTATTGCTTCAATGCAGCTACTGTTTCTGTGAGCCTAAAAGATAAATGGTAGGGACGTTCTTGCTCAGAAGGCTAGCAGCCATGAGGAGCAGACAGCAAATCAGGGGAGAATACAAACTTTCTTCTTACATCAGCATCTTACTTCACCTAGCTGTTTTATTTCAAGCCTGTCAAATTTCATGAACAGTTCTACTTTGGCCAACTCTACCTAGCATCATGCGAAAAAGGAAAGCTGAGAAAAGTATTTCCAATTTAACTCAAAATTAACTCAATCGGTACAGAGACACTACAATGGCACCACACAGGAAGAGGATTCTGGGAACATGTTCCAGCTTTGCCAAACAAATACAGTATAAAACCACCAAAGTCAACTGTCTAACCAATGACAGAGGTAGCTGTACACTGAATCACCTATTAATTCATACATTTGTGTGATGTTTATTCATAATATAAGAAAGGATTAATATCTATTCAATGTTAAATATATGCCAAGCATTCACCAAGGTGCTATGCATACAGTGTATTTTTTATTGTATATATACATATATATTTTTACTTCATTCTTCATTTTGTACATTTTTCATCTCACTTGTAATCCCCATGGACTTGCTACCACTTCACCCTATGGTGTGCCATCACCATAGGATCATACAGTATATTTTTTTCTCAAAGACTTCTATTACCACATCCATTTTATAGGCAAGAAATTTTGCCTTTGCCTTGTACCACCAGGAGTCAAATCCAGATATGCATAGTTCTTGAGAGGATCTTCTTTCTACCACCCAGCCTAAGAATTCCAATTCCTAGTTTAGGGACTTTGCTAACAACAACTGAATTTGAAAAGAAAAAATTCACAGGCATTTCTCTATAGTTAAATTTCTAGTAATCCATTTTCTATAGCATGTCAAGATAGTCCTTCCAAGGTGAAGGATAAAGTATTGCATCTGACCATTCTACCGCTAAAAATGGGTATGATGTTTGGGTCCTCTTTGAATTTTGGAGGTAACAAATACAAGACTGCATGTGCTCCTCCAATACATTTTTCAAGTGACTAAAAAAACTGCCAGGCTGGGCCCTCTCTGGTGGCAGCAGGTTAAAGCACAGCACTAAAAAGCTAAAGCCACTACAGCATCAGTTCAATCCCCGCCCCAGAGGTGACCCACATGGCGTGGCAGACCTCTCCTGACCCGCCCACTGCTCCCCTCAGCAGTGTACTTCGTTCTTCTGCCTGTTCTACTTCCCACTTTTTCTCTCACCACCCCTGCACCTCTGGCCTGTACCCCAGGTCTGTATGCATAAATAAATAAATCTTTCTTTATAACTGTCAGGCCAAGAAAAGGCTCTTTAACAATTCTACACTGCTATGCAAATTAATGTCATTTGAACCACATGATTGGGCACATCCAATAGTACTTAAACAGTCAGTGGTAGATAGTATTTCTGACTTGAAGCTTTGTAAACTTCAATAGGTAAATTACAACACAGACCCTTAGTGCAGACTGAACATCTGACCATGAGACACTAAGCTACCATGATACCCAAGCTACTCATTATGAACTGCTTTGTGACCCACCAAGCCATAATATTGCATGAGTACAGCAGCACTCAGTTATCAAATGGAAGTGATATATAGGAGATGAAGCTTGATTGGACACTAACACATAACCAAACTGCATGATGAAGTTGCTGAATTGTCCATGGGTTCCTATTCCTGCTATATAAGCCTTTACTCTCTATTCCATTATCTAGGTCTTCTTGCCTATGACCAATTGATTAAGGAAGAAAAAAACTCAGGTCTTATTTACACATGATTACATGCAACTCAAAGACACCACCCAAGGGTGACCAGCTGAAACACAATCCTAAAGGACAGTAATAAAGGGAACCATCACCCCCTCTGTAGAAAGAGGTTCAAACAGTGCATTATGTTGTTCATTTTGTTAATAAGGAGGTATGAGTCTATACTAACTGATAAACTATAAGTATATTTGTATAAAAAACAGTGTTTTTCTTACCTGCCTTCTCTTAAGATTTACTAATAATAACTAACTTTAAATCAAGGGATGATTAATCATAGTGTTTAAATTACAAAGAAGAGGAACATCACCCTTGGAGTTATTATCTTCTTCTGAGTAAAGAGTTGGCATGTTTGTTGTTGTATATGGAAGAGCTACATCATGTCATCCAGTATAGTTTAAGAAAATAATTTAAGATGTATATGGATATCCAGTTGACAAGTAGTGGACTATAATTGTTTTGTGGCATTCCCTTTTTAAATGAAGTCACCCAGCAAAGGGCTATACCAAGGAAAAGATGGGAAAAATAATAGTATATATTAATGTTAAGTTAGTAGGATCTGAGTATCTAGGTCTATTCACTGGCTTAACTCTAGCATATATAAAAGGAACTAACCCTATTCTTTAATAATTAAAGTCAAACTTCTATTCTAGAACCTAGAACTTCTCTGCTTATACAGACCAAATAAGAATTTAATAGGCTGGATATCTATTTCTGTTCAGGGGACATCATGATAACTAGTCAACCTCATAAATCTCTGCAAGTAAAACTGTCCTGATTACCAGTTTTGTTTCTTTAGTGAACTCTAAGAGAGGAAGATAGTGTCACTGTATCTGAAGTGGATTGCCATTGCTCATTATGGTAGCTACGCCCACCTTGTCTTTGGCAATTAAGTGCCACCATTTGGCTCCTTACATCTCAAGATCCCATTATTTTCATTGCCTTTAGTAACTAGTTGATTAGTTCAGTGACATAAGTTTTCTCTAATTTCTGAGAAATACAGAGACGAGATCACAAAGCTTTTCCAGGATGCTGAAGCTACCCTGCAAATTTATTTTTCACAGCTGCTGTGATAAGCATGTATTCCCAAGGCTAGAG